CATTAACAGTGCAGCTAAACCATAAAATTTTTACTCCTTTGTTGAGGGATCCTGTAGTGAAGAAGTTATTATCAAATTTTTGTTCTTTTTATTATTGAGAGTAATTATAATTATAAAAAACTAAACGTCCACATATGTTGGCAAGTCCATGAAGAAGTTAAGCTATATCAGATAAGCTATAGCACATACCGTAAATAGAATGTGATTACTTTACATTCTACTACGTGTACTATAAGTAGAATTAGATTACGGTACATTCTGCCGCGGATATCATCCGTAGAATATGAATATATTACATTCCAATCTATCACAAATTTGCACACTAATACATAACATGTATTACCATTCAAATTGCACTACATGCTTTGTTCTCAAGACGTTTAACAAAATTACCAATTGGCACTACCAATGGTAGTTGAGGAACTAGGAAATTCAGGAAATATTGAAGCATTGCAAACAAGAAGAATAATTCAGACGTAACAAAAATGGGTTTTTGTTGCTTCGAACATTTCGAGTTTCACGAATAGTGACGTAAACTGAATTGACCAAATAAATGAATAAAATTCATACTATAGGAATCCACAAATTTTAATTGGGAAAGAAACACTTCCAATTGTCAACAGCTATATGCTGTTAGTCTCTAATATGAAAAATTCTCAGAATGCAAAAGGTTAGAGTGGCAGGCGATATTACTTGACATTAATTGCATCTAAAATGTAAGGGGTCTAATAATATCAGGAATTCACGACGATGAACGACCAATATTCGTCCACCCAAAAGGTGGAACACAGTCGATTCGCGTTGAATGATGCCTGGCAGGACACCGTCAATAATTTAGTCGATTAGTTGCCAAAACTAATGCGAATAGGGTTTAGAAATAACAGAAGTCCTATTAATACTAACTTTTTCTATTAAACTTATTGTTAGTTACCGTACTTAAAAGTTTGTTTTAATTGAATAAACTTTGTAAAAACTTTACAGTTTCCAATGTTTGGAAGAAAATGTACAAGACTCGCAAAACAACCAAGGATTTCTTGTCAAACTTTGTGGACTTTGGAGTTCTAGTGTATGCTAATGCGACAAGAAATGTTAGACGACCTTATTCAAGGACGGAGAACTTGTTACTAAAAAATTTGACAAATAATTTGGCTCTAATACAACGTAACGAATTATTCGTATTTAAATACCAGAATATATGAATATAATTGTACACTGTCGGTTAATATTATTTTAATTACAAAAATTGGCATGAACATTGTGATTTTTCAATTTGGTTGCGTTGATTGAATCCTGAACGCTTTGAGTACCTATGCGAAGAATATCGCTTTTACTTATTGTCAGAGAAAATAATTCAGGACTGAGGAAGTAAAATTTATGGTCGACGGGTTACAGCATGGTAAACAGTCACGATAAAATGATCACATTACTCGTTTTATGTCTCTATCGCTTAAGTCTTTTGCTATTGTCAATTACAAAATACAAAGAACAGTCTCTGTTGAAATTCTCTTTAATTAAATTCCTCGCTAGCGGACTTTAATTAAAATTAAGTAAAAGGACAACGTTTTGCTGTGTATTAATTTCACAGCCTATGATCTGACCTGAAATAGAGAACGTTTAAATAAATTGTAGCCTCCCAATGTACATAAAATAGTTCCAGAGCCCTGGTCTAGGTTCAGTGGATTATCCATCCGTCCGTACTGTTTACATTAAAGAGAATCGACGACCAGCGTGTTTGATTCTCGTTTCGTGACTCCATATACGCTACGCCAATCAATTGTTTAACGTTCTAGTGCGTGTTGCAATAAAGGGATGTGTAAAGGACATGTTGAATGCTAACACTTTCACCCACACCTAAATGTGTGTTTTTAAATTTTATACTACGTAAAATAGTATTAGATAAAGTGAGAATAAAATGTTTACAAAATATTTTAATATAATGTTTTTTGTCATAAATGAAATACCTTAATAATATAATTGGGACAATTAAAATACGTTGAATAAAATGTGTAGAGTGTAATCAGAGCTGTGTAAAATACGTATTTTAAATAATAAACAGTAGAAGAATATTTTATTTCGGATCATGCAAGTATTTTTAAAAATAAAATATTTTATTCGTTATAAAAAATGTTTAAGATAATATTTTAAGTGATATTTTATTTCAAAAACACTGAAAATATTTGTGCCATAGTTCGGAATATTTTATGTATTCAATTTATTATCAGCAAATAAAATATTTTTATTTTACTAAATTATAATGTAAAGTACATTTATTATGGTAATCTAAAACGAAAGAAGTACTTTTCCTCTGCATTATAAACATACATTCAATGTAGTCCTGCAATGAATACTTCAACTAAGAATCTTCATGAAATGCGTGATGGAAAGAGATATTCTTCAATCGCAAGAAATAGTTTCTCCATCTGTGTATCATATTTACACAGTTTATTTTCGGGTTAAGATCTATGGAAAGTATTCAATTTTATGCTTTATGGTATTAAAATGAAACATATTTTAATTTACGTTTTACATTATCAAAATAAAATATTTTATTTGCTGAAATTTTATATCCCACTTGAAATACTATTTTATTTGAATTCTGATGAATCTATTATTTAAAATAGTATTTAAAATACTTTCTCTACAAATATTACCCACCTCTGAGTGTAATGGAGAAGCATTTGAGCATCTTCTTTAATAAAAAGAATTGTTTAAAATATTTCATGAACTGATCATTTTTATACCACTTTACCCTAATACTATTTTACATAGAATAATGAAAAGATTCAATCTGTGTAAAAGAAATATGGAACCATGTTTGAACCATTCATTGTTTTGTCCTTCACAGTTTTCTCTAGAGGCGTTGATAACGGAGTTAGAGCTCGTCCTACTTTGGCCCAACTTGTATATGAAAAGGCCATATAAAAGTGGGTAACCATTTCTTGAATATTTCATTAAAACATGGTGTAGGGCCCACACGATTCATGGTATTTAGTAATTACTCTACACTGCCTGGAATTTTTATAAAACCATCGAATTTTTCGATGAAACCTGATATTTATTACATGATAATGATAATTATTATTTGGTATGATTATGGGATTAATTAAACAAAATAGATATAGGGTTACTGTGATGAATGCGATATTTATTTAAAGAAAAATATGGAAATATATATTTTAGTAAAAATAAAAATCTGAAGTTTCTATAAAGACACACTCTTTTGAAATACGTACATTCAAAACTAACAGAAGATATTACTTTGTATAATTTTCGCTATTTTTAACTAAGTCAATGATTTGGGTGACTTTGTGGAAATTTCAGACAATGATATTAAGCATCAACAAATGATTTTATTTAATAGAGATAAAAAATCAGTTTCGTTGCGACGACTATAATACGTAAAAGACATTCACGAATCCAAATTTAAATAATCGCCAACTGTAAAATGAACAATATCTCGTTCGTAGTTGCTTTCATAACTAAATCTTATATAACAAAGTTTGTTGAATGATAAATTTAAAAGCTTCTTTGTCTCTTGAATACTTTCAATGGAATCGATAGTAATCGATATATCGACCCAAACAACCTCTCGCCTGCATTTAAAACTCTACTTGGCGAGTAGCACCAGTGTCCTGATTATTTATGCCCTAGAATATCAAACGAAAAACTTCGTATATCAGAAAACGCTAAAATACTTTCTGCATTTAAACGATAATTCATACCTTTGGGCAACTTTTCGGGTAATTCAGCTAGTTGCCAATAAGTCCTACTGGCCACGCGAGAGATTTACGACGACAGGTTCCGTCGAATTTACGAACCGTGCTTCGTTTTTATGCGTTACGTTTTTCATTTGGAATTCTATATTACCCTTGCAGGATGAGAATTGACCCGTTCAAAAATATGTGAACATTATCTCGTGGAAAAAGTTGGAGCTGATAAATTGCCAACTTAGGCTCTACGCCCTTTTGGCCAGTCGAAAACGAGCGATGTTTGAAAGAATGATTATCTCCAAATAACTATATTTACATATAAGGGAAAATTAGTGCATTCCCATTTATTGAGTGTGTTTCGTTTAATGCAGAATGGTAAAATATCTCACGAAGGGATATAACTATGAAAAAGGTATTTTCACAAAAGTTATTTGGTACGAGGTGAAACATTATATGGAGTAAATCATTCTTTGTAAATAAAGTGGTGGGGGAGATTAGAAAAAATTAATCTTTTTAAATAGAACTTCATTTTTATCCATAATAACTAATAAGATGGTATTTATTCATCGACCTATTATACGAAGTCATTTATTGTATTATAAAGCCTTAGTAGTATAAAGTATCAACCTGATGGTCATTGCAATGCATCTATACGAACTGTAGTAGCCATCAAATTTTGCTTATTGTTATTCTTCTACAATTACTGTAATTATCAAACACATTAGTTAATTAGTTAGAATATTAACAATAAGCAAAAATTTATGACTACCAATCTTCGTATATGCATATACGTAATATAATAAGCATCAGGTTGGAACTTAGGTTATATAATATATGAATAGAATTATTGTAATGGAAATCAGGTTGAAACTTTATAAGGTTGATAATATAACATAACTAAATACACCTAGGTATATATGGAGTTTTAGCAGACCTGTAAAGCAATTGTATATTGAAAACTAATTAAAACGAATCATAAGACAGTGTCAATTAATATAATCACAATTATTATAAAATATCTAACCTAAATATTTATAGCATTTCAGATTCGCAGTAATTTTCAATTAATTTACGTTCAGTTAAGTAGACAGCGTGCCAACTGATTACCGATTATTTGTCATACAAGTTTTTACGATTTTAACCATAATCTCGTTATATTTCTAAACTTTATAGTTACACTTGTAAAAAAAAATCCTTCTTACTATATGCAGTTATATAAGTAAAAATCGATTTTTGGGGGCATCTGCCTCCTTAAAGTCGAAGAGTGTTGCAAAGAAGTCGATAACTTACCGAAAAAGCATGAGATGAAGACGATCGTGTAGAGTGTAATAAAGATCACCTTTACACTGGTCCTGTCGAAGATATAATCTTCGTTCGAGGATATATTGTAAGGGATAGTTCCGTTCTCGACCAAGATTTCGTTGTCATGAATTTCGTAAACGATTGCATCGCGGTCGTCGATCATTCTGCAACAGAATCGTGGAAAAAAGAAAATCGAGTATTGAATGCATATTTTGTTTTCGTATTTGAAAGGCAGCTAAATGCAGTACTGTCTATCAAGTTGTCAGAAAGTTATTTCCACCACTTCCTGGGTCAGTTCGTAGGATAACGAGTCTAGCGTTATCTACAATCACGGTGATTCAATCACCGAGTGAAGCATTCGTAGATTACGATGCTCCCAAATTCAAGTGCCAATCAAGTTGCAAAACTAAATGAAGTATGATTAAAGAGGGGAAGCTTATCTACGGTCCGAAAACAGGTGCATGTTTGTGAATGTTTTTGAGGCAAACGGTCGATTTTCTGGTAATAAGATTTAGGGTACTCGAAGGTGCGTTTCTTAGTGCATGTGTCACAATGTTTATACTTGAAATATATCTTAAATTAAGAAAGTTACGACGTTATAGTTTTTCCCCCCGAGTATTCCGCGGTGACTACTCTATCCCTGAGCTGAAATATCTGAAATTCAAACCACAAGAATTTATAAATAGTATATTGAATTATCTGAGTGTTTTCATAATTACAAGTATTCGAATAATATATTAAACAAGGAACTTTCCGATTTTCGATTACAGCGCCATCTATTGCGAATAAAAAAAATGTTTGAAACTAGTGTTTTGAAAAAGTCTCATAGCCAGCTTTCACAGTGCATGACAAAAAATGAGGTGTTCCATTAAAAAAATCATGTTGACCTTGACGTGACTTTGACCGGTCCTTTGAAGGTCAAACGGACACGATAGTTCAATAGAATTTTTAAACCCTAAAACATTTCTCTAAACCGTTTTTCTCACAAATGTTCCATTTTGGAAATATTTGACTGTTTCAGTAGAGTAGTAAAAAAAACTACTGGACCGAATTAGAACAAAATCTAATCAGCTCTAAGTTAGATTGATACACATCGATTGCATCATCGATCATTTTGATTTCGCTATTAGTTATTTAGAATATGTTAATGAAAAATTTGTTTACATACGCACACACACACACATACGAACAATTCGTTAAAAATAGACTAAAATGACTCCAATGACCTTGAAACATGGAGATCTGCTAAAAAATCGATTTTTCATTTACAATAACTTCCTTATAAATCGGAAAGTTAATTATCTTGTTTTTTTTATACGTAAAATTATTTTTTCAAAAATATGGCTCGATAGCACTTGCATAATGTATAATATTTCTTAAAAATCACGGTTACTTTTTTAATTTCAGATAATCCAGTTCTGAGGTAGAGTAGTCATCGCAAAATGCTCAAGTCAAAAACGATATTGCCACCGACTCTTACAACTTTGTTAATTTAAAATATTCGTAAATACAAAAATTGTAACGCATGTACTAAAAAGCGTTCTTTCGAATGTCCTTGAATTTATCACCAGAAAATCGACCGTTTGTCCAAACAAAATTCTCAAATGTGCACCTCTTTTGAACTATTCTAGACAGGCTTACCAAGTCTTACTGTGCTATAGAATGTTTTCAATTGTAATTTATATGCATGGTATTTTCAACCGTTATCGCGGAGAACTCGAATCAAATATCGAAATATAGATCATAGCACTTGGAAAGTTGAAATCGTTTTAATTGACTTTTGGTATCGACAGATAACCGTCAACGATATTGCATTTTAGTTAAAAGTGATACGAGAAGCCGCGAATGGTCGTTGAAAAATTTAAAAATTGTACTGCCATGATCGATCATCTGAACGAACAACGATATTTCAATTTCATTCGTATTTTTCTATTTGTAGATTAGTATACACTACCATTCTAACGTTTTCAATCTTATCTATTCTGTTCCTAAACATATACAACCAAATGACGATAAGAAAATACAGTTCTCCCAAATGATACGTACATTTATTACTACTTGTTTGTACATGCCTACGTATACAATATTTCTGAAAATAATCCAATATGGAGAGCCTAAAACGTTAATGTACTAGCATAATTTAATCTATAAAATCGAATTAAGCTATTCGTACAAACTATCGACCACGATGCATGTGATCAAATCTTCAAATTTCAATTTTACTCGTATGTCGAATATCTTTCTATATACTGGTTCTTAATTGAGTTCGATTTAACGCTTAAATAGTTGCAATTATTGTGGCGGTATATTGAACAATTTGACATCGTCGAATACCTGTGAACGTTTAGATAAATGCATACAAGTACACGTGTGTATGTATGTGTCCTCTTCACGCACTGAAAACCATCAATCGTAAATGTTCATTGCTGTCCAAAATGTCCCCGGTCTAAACGGATCGACAGTATTTATTTCCTCTTGTTAACGCTGTCTCTGACAAGCAAACGAACGTTGTTATTCCCATAGAGAACGTCGATCGTTGTTAGCGAGACTATTATCACACTATGCTTTCGTGCAAACAAGTTTTTAACAAGTTCGCGCCAGCGTGTGATACCGATGGCACGCGCTTGCCTCTCTCATCGGGCGGCATGTACCACGGGTGGCTCGCGCTTGCGTATCTATGAGACGGCGTGTATTTCCGCGCCGCCCCATGGCGAGAAACACAAAGAACAGCGCTGGCGTGAATATGTTAATATAATGAGTAGACTGCGGATCTTTATGCATTTATAGGAAATTTGAATGTGCAAGAAACTACAAAATGCATCAATATGCAAGAATATAAAAAAGATTGAAAGTAAAGTTCATGTTACAATATTTGTAGAATAAAATAAATTCCTATTTAGGTTCAATTTTTGTAGGCACGTTCGCGAAGATTTTATTTTGCATAAAGATTCGCAGTTTAATATTGAGTCACATATTGTATATCTCAAACCAGCAGAATTTCGATAATTTGTCATAAGTTCCTGGAAAAGTACTCGATTGTCTACTCGTCAGATAGTGTAAGGCTTTCACGTCAAATCGTGCACGATTATTGTTGTCAAGATCTCACGTATTTCAGATCTCAATCGCGCCTTGACGTATTCGATAATTATTCTGTCGATAGTCATGTTATAATTGAAGTTTTTAATTTCAGATTAGAAGATTAAAATCTTATCTTCATAGTTAATGCCAATATCGATAATCGTAATTGGCTAATAATCATTCGAGTGATTAAAACTTTTACATAGCAGAGTGATATAAAACCCAGACTTATCCCCTGCGCATATCATTTATTATCTAATCATTTATGACTTTATAATTGTAGTCTTACGCAAAGATAAAAAATATTTGTCTAAAAATTGTATGTTATATATTAACACGTAACGTATGTTAAGATTAAAATTATTGATGTGGGAAAACGTAACAGAATTATATAATAATTGTACGTTTTTGACGACATTAAGTAATTTTATGATAGTTATACAGAAAAGGGTGGTCATCACCGATTTCGATGATTTTGAAACATGTTATCAAATCATTATTCTGCACAATTACTTTTTCTATATAAATGACCAATGGAAACGCTTAGTCTTCGAGATATTCATAAAAAAACTTTCTCAGCTAACATTTTAACAGAAATAAAATAATGCAGGTAATTAAAAAACAATTATTAGGTAAACCTCTTCCTCGCCAAAATATCACCAATTAATGTATATTTTGAGCACTCTTTTCTATATAATTACCAGTTTTATTTAGTTTTATTCAATACTGTTTTAACATTTATTTAGTAGGATTCATCTAACACTTTCGTCGTCTTCATCAGTATCAGTTGTGTCAGCACTGTTATTATCACAATCTGATAAATTAGGCTACGGATGTTTATGAATTTATGATATATACAATCATACTTGCTATCCTAAACAAAATAATTGTCTTGTAAATTACGTGAGGGCACCTACGTTTTGGTTACATCAAAGCGAAACGGTAATAGATAAAGTTTTTTAATCTTCAGTATTCATTTACGTATTCATTTTTTGCTGAAATATCTTACATTTCATAGAGTATAGGGTTAACACCTTGACTGTCAAACTAATAATCGTGAAAATTCCTACGAGGCTAAAATTTTGTGATAGTACTTATTCTTGCAACTTCTTTCAAATTTACTAATCCCATCTAAATTTGTTTCCTTTAACATCTCATTTTCAGAATAAATCTATTTCATTCTCTGATGAAAATGATTGTCACCTATATGCGGATGACGTGGCGATCATAATATTGTTGGAAACGTCGGTCGCGACTCTCGCGTCACACGTTTGATTATTGTAAACCATAATTCAACAGCGACAACAACAACAGCGTAATACAATACAGTTAATATTCTCCGACAATTCAGACATGTTAATAAGTCGGCTGCCAGTCGGAATCTGACAGTTTGACAGTTCCATCTGCAACCGTTCCTTTTAAGCATGGCTACTTCTATCGCCACTCGACACGAATCACAGGGTGTCTCCGTACTTCAACAATTGTATTCAGGTGAAAAGGTGTTGCAAAGAACCCCATTTGACGGTACTTTTCTCTCCTTATGTGCTTTACATAAACATAACATAAGTTACCTCTGCGATAATCGAATATGGTACTAGTAATAACATAAACAATTAAACATGCGTTGAAGAGTGATAACACTCGAAATTACGTATATGTTGCCAGTAACCGAAACAAATTAAGAAAAGTTGTATAGATTTACGTAATTAATTTTGAGAAAACCTGAAATTGTAAGATAAAAGCGTTCTAATGGACGTCATGTTTGGATAAACTATGAATGGCATTAGATCTTAAACCCCTTAAGCTACGATTTAAGCTCCAACATCCTGGGACCAAAATGTGATGACTTGGCCAGAACAATATACCACGGGCCAGGCTCGTGATAATCAGTTCTAGCTCGAACATTTTATCATTAAGGCCACCTTGAAAGGACCGACGGCGAGTGAAAGAATCATGTACGATTATTTACCGCAATAACAGCGTCGTAGAATCTGTTTTCGAATCGTAATTATGCTCTCCACATTGCTAGGCAAAGGAAACCGTAAATTTTATTTAAAATTGAATTAATCCCACCGCTCTCCAATGTTCATTCCGGTCACGAACGACTGCTCCGTGTCTGGTATATACGTTTATTGAATTAAGTTGCCCATAGTACGATTTATAGTACAGTGTGTGGAACAAATGTACCAATATAATTGAGGGATCCTGGTGTGGTCTGTTAGGCGATAACCTTGTTGGACATAAACCACCGAATGTGTTGTTCCCAACTGAAGAGCGCCTAACTACGGTGTCGTGATCAAGAAGGTGTGTTCGCTTCTTTTCAGTAAAAGAAATCGATGTTTGTTACATTTTCTATGAATATACAAGGCGTACTACAGAAGGAAATTCTTTCAGTCGTGAGGGAACACAAAAAGTGTTTCATATGTAATTTAGATGGCATTCAAAGACAAATACATCAGGCGGGCCCCCCCCCCCCCCCCGAATAAAATAACACCAGATTATTTTTCTTAAAGTTTTCAAGCACGTTAATGTTTTTTCTGTAATTTCTGTATGCGGGTAGACATTTTTTCTCTTGCATACTGCAGCTGATATTAAAATTTCACCAGAGATGTGGCCTGAAAATAATCTTTGACTTACAAAATTCTAGCTATGCATGTCACGTATTTCTAGCATGATCGCAGACTCTGGCAACGTCAGTAGAGCAAAGAGTATGCATTTTCATATAGGGTGCAGTATACACTTATATGTAAAACGAACATCGGTCTAGGATGGATACAGTTTACGTGTTTCTTTCCATTCACAGTATTTCCGCCATCATTGTTGAAGTTAGCGATCCAGAAAGAAATGAACTTTATGTTTAACTTTCATTTCGAAAGTCCAAGTAAAAGCTATGAAAATGTTATCTTAATTCGAATTGGTAAGTAGATCAAGTTAGTAAGTAGCGAAGATCCTTCTCAAGAGAAACTTTAAAGACTCTCCTGACAAGAATCATTGATAAGGAGAATAATCAATTTCTGTACTTGTCCAGGCGTACCACTTTATTTTAATTATTTGTAACAAATAAACGTTGGAGCCATCAATGCAAACATTATTTCCTCTTCACAAGAAACAACCATAAATTAATATTCGAGTTAAACATGTGAATCTATCCGCAAATGCTACATAAAACTGTAGAAAGTTTGCAACGACAGATGTAGATCAAATATAAATACAGTTTCTAGGGCACGTCTTCCGGGAATCAAGCGAAAAATGTCTGAGAAATATTCACGATGCAAGTTCTGCAGAAGAAAGGAGCAGAAAACTGAATTATTTATGATAATTGCTAAGAGGAAAGAAATGTGATTAAATATCTCATTTTACACGTAAACCGTTCGTAATTTCCCTTATCAAATTTGTCAACTATCTTTTCTTTCTCCGACAAAGAAAGTTGCAGTTATTAGATTTTATTTTATTTTTATTTTTTAATATACCTAACTTTCTTGCACCCCTTTTAAAAATATAATCTATTTTAAAATTAAAAATAAGATTGGAAAGAAAATTCCTGTATCTTGTATTGTAAATAAAACTTTTATGTTTGTGGGGATATAACGCTACAAAATCGCGTGCTCAAGCGGTATCACAAACGAATTATTAAGATAGAAAGCTTAATACCTTTTTTAATTAAAGGAATGCACAATAAAAAATATTTTCCAACATTTAAACGAGTGTGTTGTGTGGCGTGTTGCACAATGCTAGGAGTAACGCGTACGTGGTTTATCCAGGATTATTTGACATAATACAAAAAGTCGAATAGCCTTTTAATCTGTGTTAATATCACTCACCGTATCACATATTTCTTTGAAAATATTGAAAATATTCACGTTGCACATATTTGAAATCAGAGGGCTGATTTTTTTGAAAAAATTTATAGTGAATATATGATACCGTTGCATTGTGTTCACCATGAACTAAATTGGATAAAGGAACCTAATCTTTGAACCTTTGGATCACTATATATATGTGCTTGACACGATTTTAATATCCAGTAAACACTCATTTTACACGCATGTGTCAAAGAGGAAAGAAATCGGTCGTATAGTTTCCCCGAAATCGTGTACGCCGTCTTAAAAAAACATAACGTGGAGCGAAATCGTTGTAAAGTTCGGCTCGCACTTTTCACAACGATAAAATGCGAAAACCTTGATATTACTCATTGTAATATATTCCTGTGGTATAATAGAGATTCTTTCGCGAAGTACTAACCACTACTGCTTCTAAATTTTGTTATCTGAGTGCAATTCATGCCTCTTTTGCATTTTTTACAGCCTTCGCGTGAGCGATTGGGAATCGCAACGCGTTCCATTCTCCGCATATTTACACAGCATTTGGGCCAATTCGTAAGTTGAGGGCTCTCATTAATTGCGAAACTCTCTCGTACCCGTTTTTAAAAACACAAAATCCCAGAAACATTGTCGTAATAATTATTTTAAGGCCACTTATTGAATTTGTCGGGTCATGCTGTTCGAATTTTTATTTGAAAAAATAGAACCATTCGGACAATTAATCAAATCAAAACTAATTAGGTGATTGGACGTTCTTTGTAAACAATACATATCCAGTGCGGTATGGTAGAAGGATGTATCCACCAAGATACGAATATTGTTTATTTTTTGGTAAAATTTGAAAAATATAATAATGTGTAAAGTCTTATGGGTTTATTTTGTAAGATAATGTTACTTTAACTCGCGTTAAATAGTCTTTCAACATTTATAACATGTCATTACCATCGTTTTTGACATGTATCAAAGCATTCAGAAAATTTAATAATACTAAAATGACAAATTATATTGATTCATATGTGTAACAGTAAGAGCAATCATTAAAATAATTACAGATTATGAAAGTGAAATTACAATTATTTGATGTAATATGTTGTGATTCCGCACATCAATATTAATAATATTGGCAAAGTACTTTGGACAAACTTACACTAATTACTGAAAGCACGCGTTGATGCAATAAAAGCTATCCATATATTAAATTGATAAATGTTATTTACATAACATAGAGATAAATATAACACATACGATCACTGAAAACGGTGCGTTGGTACAATAAAATCTATCCTTATGGTAAATTAATATATATTAATAAGCCTACTTTAGCCACTCTTACCTAAAAAGATCATTGATTTAACATGACACTCATCTCCCATTAAAATTAATGTAGTTTTTAATAAAGTTAAAAAAGGTATTTAATAACAATTATGATAAGTTTCTTCTTTTTCTCGAATATTTTGTAAAACTTGAAAAAACAATGGGTTACCCTTTTGATCAGTTGAGCGAGACATAAAAGAATAGATTTAACGCTGAATATGTGATTCACAATGCACTTTACTTAAGTATGGTATCAATAAAATTATTTGGCAGAAAATTTAACTGAAACAATTATAGGACAAAAAAAGTCACACACCAACACAATTTTTTATATACACAAACACACCAACGCAATAACACAATAACACATCGACACTACAATACATTAACTCTGCCACAATACACAACACGACACACTGTGGTAGCAACAAACCAACTCAGTAATAGATCAACACATTGTCACAATAACACAAACGCCTTCCACATCGTCGTCTTTTCTTTGATACTAACCAACCATATTTACTTTTTAGGGAGATATTATATTTCATTATCTTCTTCGTATAAATCTCCAATTAAAAGACAATTGACATCATATTGCCTTTGTACGGCCAAACTACCGTTCTGATTTAATTACTTATTCATTACACAGAATGGACTTTAAACTGAAGCAGCAGTATGTACTCCTAATGAACTTGGATTAAGAGAAAATTAGCGCGAGTACCAAAAGGTAATCGCCAAAGGCTACGGATCATAAATTATTCTTACTTAGGAAGTAGCTCATAGTTCTCAAATGCTCATGTTTATTATATTGTTCTGATTTTGCCAACAGTTGCACAAAGGTAAGCAAATTTTGATCGCAGTAACTGGTCATGAATAACATTATGATACAACGTATTGGCAACGTTTATTATTGTCACTTAACGTAAAGTATAATTTTAATTCGTAGTACGAATTCAATTTCTATCGAAAAAGTGAGGGATCCTGAATTATTCATTTTTTTTGTTACGCGATATTTATATGTACATATGAATTATTGTCCATTTTTTAATTTACGGAATTTCTCAAGGTAAAAAAAGAACGTACATGATAATCGTAATTTATTAAAGTTTGTATACAAACAATTTAAAGCGTTTATATTCTTTTTCTCCAAAATTCAATGTAAATGTATCAATATGCGTATAGCGTAATACACTTTGGGTAAACCATGTTCCGAAGGGAATCGAATATGTAGACTCGAAAACGTCACTAAAGCTTGTACAAACTATACTACAAATACAATAAATTATGTGACACATGATCTCTAGTCTGCTCAACATCTTCCATGGCACATCTATCTCGTTTTCAAAAATTTCCTACAAACCTCCTTTTACAACAATTGCAAGAGCATGCACTTTAAGAGTCAACAAAAGAAATGTATTTTTATAAAGCTTGAAAAAGACACCTAAAATAAATCACTTCAAGGCGTACACTGAACTTTTTACATACTGCACTCAAGACCATCACCGTTGGCCTCTCTCTGGGTATTACGCGGAATACCTACATTTGTCCCACGCACTATACGTTACCCCCGGCAGGAAAACATCGCCATACGTTTTACCAAAACCTCGAATGCACGGAACGTTGGTCTTACCTAAAGGTTTCTTGGCTGAAGAAATCTAAATCCAAACGAGGCATCTTCCGTCTACAGGAAGATTCCGACGAGCCTTATTCCCCGCGGTAGGCTACACACGAATGCTCGTCACGCGTAATACAGCCGGAGAAATATTACGTAACTATTAAAGTTTCAATCGTGGAACGGTTAGAAAGAAGAATGAAACTTTCCTTTCTTGTCGAGTGGTTGACGTTTAAAATTTTCCAACCCTGCGACGCGAAAGTCGTACAGTTTTCTCAGCGTCATCCTTCCCCTTAAGAAAACACGAACTCTCGCCCATCGCGATTCAACATTTTATGCAATTAGGTCGCGCCTCGTTTGCGGCCGAATTGACCGAGACCGCAATCGCGCGATCGGCTACTCCAGTTGCTTTTCATTTTTACCGATTTAATCGATTACATCTCTTTGTTCGAGCGGGAGAACACTTTTCGGCGGCGATACACCATTAATAATTCAGCACCATACGACGTGTACGCATAATTGTAGATCATTCGACAAATTCAAACGGATCTGTGGTGCCGGGACACGAAATTATTAATTACGGAGGAACGTGAACCGTGGATCTCTCTCCATACGTCCGCGGCTTTTGCTCTTTTTATTCGATGTAATTCATCGAGCCTCTTTGAATGCAACGCGACACCGTCCAGAGATCGCCGAAGACAGAATCTATTATTAAAATAATCAGAGTTGAATAGGAATTGAAATTTTAATTTTAAAGTAGAATTAAATGTATTTCGTGTTGGAGGAATTAGAATTTTTTCGTGTTGCATATGCGTATCGTCAATAATATTTTATTGAAGATATATAGATCCCCAATCTTTCGTTGTTCACAAAAATAATGCATCACCAGAAATCATTGTTGATTCTTGGTAAAGTGAATTTAAATTAAAGAAACTAATTCACTTGATCAATTTCAAAATTTATGTTTTGTTTATTAAAGAAATTCCTGTACTTGAAAAGACTAGTTTTTTTAAAATCAAGCTACAAAATTTTCCGAAAGATGACCAAATCAATAAAAAATCACCGATAAATCACTATATTTTATCATGTTATACATTATCTATTATTATAATAAAATTTTGCTTATTTCTAACACTGTCCCACCAACATACTCACAGAAGATGCAATAAGTATTATCAAGTTATTATTCGTTGCAACCTGGCAGAATCAAAATTACAATACTGGATATGCATACTCCCCTCAACACCTTGAAGAGTTAATACAATTATATTTGTATGTCTCGATTACTTGTATACAAAACCAAAATATATACAATACGATTACTTTATTACAAAGGAAAAGAAAATGTGGTGAATTTTTATTTTGAATTTAATTTTTTTTTTTTGTCAAAATTGCGATAAAATTATTTTAGTGAGTCACAGTGTTTAAGATAGCTTTTACACGACTTTACAAAGTTGTAATAGTCGACGAATCAAATTCTTTTTTATGACTTAAAAATTAATTTTGATTAAATTAACTGGTCAAAGAACTCGAATGCTCGAAGTGTTCTACGTTTTGCGATATAACGGTCCCGAAACGTGACAAAGAGGAATAGCAACGACACTGTCGCTGTCCCGCGCGGTACTGAGAGCTTCGAGGTTCGAGGTTCGAGCTTTCATTCATAGTTGCCAGTCCGTGAGCTGACCGAGATGTCCGGGTTTCGCGCAGGCGTTACATCCTCTTCCGTCGGTTCCTTCTTGCCTCGATAATGCTAGAAAATTAATAGGAACGTTTTCTTGTGTAGGTTATATGATTTCATTTCTGTTCGGAGATCGATACCACTCGAATTAATAATCACCTTTCAGCTGTAACGTCGAGCAGGTACTTACGGAAACGAGCAGTGTTGCGTTCGACTTCTTGTTGTCAGTCCGTTCTCCAACGGGTGCAACTTCTCCGTCACTTGTTAACAGGGAAATTATATTCTAATACTGATCTAAAGTACGTGCACTCTTTTTAAATGATAAAACAACGTACTCTTACTTTTCACGTTTGAAAGTTTCGCCTATTGAACATTTTGAAACGTATGCAAACCTAGTTAAAAAATTTACATATCCAAATCTTATAACTAGATTACGGACTTTATACATTTACATCGTATACTAATATGGAAAACATATAAAAAATATATATAATGTACATAGAATATACTCTAATAGTTAATATAATATTATTAATATTTAGTTTTGTACATACCTCTACGTTACCTTTACCACATATTTGTCGTATTCGTTTGTATCACAAACGTATGAAATTAGCAGTTTATTCGTGATCAATTCATTATCTTTAAATTATATTTTTGTCAAATTATGGTATACTTTCAAACAGGATTTGTAGCTAGATCTAAAACCGTATGATTAATTTTGAACGACTGTTGAATGTTTGAATGTTGATTCACTAGAAACAGAAGCTGTTTTACTTTTGTACAAAGATTCTACTGCCATATATTTACTTATACAAATGTTTGTACACATGACCAATTAAATACTATATTTGTAAAATTATCAAATTCTTTCAAATAGGATCTGCAGCTAGATCCAAAAACGTATGATTAATTTTGAGTAAATGCCGGCTGGCTAAGACATGAATTTTGTACGAAGATTCTGTTGCCAAATATTTACGTATATTCAAATTTCATCCAAATGCAGGGTTCCTCCAGAATATGTAAGTAAATTGTGAATAAACCTATAGGTTTACATGGGAACGTGCATACGTATCGACGGCATGTCGATCAACGAAACAGTCGAAAGGAAAGTCGGCTCTTGTTTGACGCAGGAGTCGATCGATAACGAGATATTCGCAGGGCTCTATTGGTATGCGCATACTATCGACCAAAACTGTTTAAATTGTACATTTTTGAATTGGAAATAAGTAATACAGAATAACTATTTGAAATAACGTTTCCGTCTTTCTGTTTCTCCACAATGCTATTTCAAAATAATGAAATGAATTGTTCAGTCTATGAGGAGAAAGATTTCTCGACGAGAACAGGTGTTCGATTGGACTAAATAATTAACTCGATGGAAATGTCGATACTGTGCACCAAGTTTAACAGTATCGATGGTGTACTCGATGATAGTAGTGATTTCTATGTTTGCATTAAGGGTGGATAGATTTTCTCGGATACAGTATAGTAGATTTTTGTATCATAATTCAAAGAAATGTTTTATCCATTGCCATATTAACTAAATACTTGAATATTCACAATTTATTATAGTTTATTATGTTCTTTAATTGTCACGGGTCCATTCCGGATCTTATATTTTCTATCAAAAGAGTGACATCGAGCAGATAAATAAATATTATAAGTAGTAATTAGTATTATATGTGAATATTAAATAAGAATTTAATATTATTTTCACGTACGTTGAATCACTACTAATTATAATTTATTTCTATCGATCGAATATTTATTGTATTTTACAAGTATGTTTGATTCATTTATGTAACATAATATAAACAAATAATATTATAAACTAAACGAGATTCCAATGATAACAAAAATTAACAGATTTCACGCTCGTCGTAAAAGTCAAGAGATTGAAAATTAAACTGAGTGAAAAGCTTTTCTCCGTTAGCACCCCCTGTATATTCCAGTATCTCATATCCCATCCAGTTGTCTCTGTCACTATTCATGTTTCATTGTATGTCACAAACGTTACATTTCCCCGTTAGCACCCCGTTGTTTCGAAAATAAAATGATTTTCAATCGTAAAAATTAATAATCATCAAAGGTGTCATATTATAAATCGCAACCGTACCATGGGCCGTGCCTGTAATACTTACATTTAGCCTAAATACAAGACCATGTATTTCACACGTAGTTGTAGGTTAAGGGGTTAAAAACTACTCTCTCATTACAACTGTTTTCACTTGGCCACCTGCGAACTGTTTGTGTTCTTACATCTTACATCTTACATCTTTCTCAGTTTCTTCTCGAATTTCTACTGCAAATACAAGTGCATTTCGTCGCTCTTGTATTTTCATGTTAGCGTATTATCGTTCTTTCTTCAGTTTTTGACGAATTTTGGACTTTTCTCTCTTCTAAAATGTTCGCTAAGGTGATACAAAAAATGTATATACTTTTCATTAAAAACTCTCCTGTTAAGTATCATCTCAAATTGTTGTCTGTGAGAATAAAAAACAAATAGATACTTGTTTTGATTATTGTACATAATACGTTCAGGAAGAAAAACATCCAATTTATTTATATTTTTCGCCTAAAATACATAATTTTTTGCTTTTTTTTCCTGTCTTAAATTTTTCTCTGCTACTGTATATCGTATATCTGCTATTGTGCTTTTCATTTAATTATGCATGATAGCGTTTTGGTGAATTTCATTTTTACCCAATGATGGGAAATACGATTTTGCTGTGATATTAATATTTCATGAATTATTTTCTCGATAGATTCAACGAGCCTCGGAATCGACCGTCACACGGTTGTTTGCCCTTCCTCTTCTCTACTTCGAGAGGCACAAGCGAGCCACGACCGCAACCCAAACAAGTATGCGTGGAGCGAGAGCTCATTCTTCGACGATCCATACTTTTCCTTGTATCATTTCCTTGATTATCGTAGCTTAGTATTGCATGTGAGAACCTTAGTTTACTCTGGTTAGTTTTAAGGCATACATGTATGAGTGTCATTTGTTTTGTAATTATTTGTTCAATTCTTCTGCTTGTTTGTAGGCCCATATTGGACTCGCAACTTTGTTCTCCAGTTCGGTCACTATTACTTCATGTCATAAATGATTTAAATACAGTAATTAGGTTGATACGACGGAATTAGTCGATAATATGAGTATTAATATTGAACTTGTAATTTGCAAATATCGTAAGGGCATTGTAGAGATTAAGATTGCATGTTAAGCGACCCTATTCTACTGATACACAATTACTTAATGCTCGATCATTGTTTAGAAGTGAAACTTCGTGATCTACTTGGCATGGCGCAAGCGCTGCTGGAGAACTTTGTAGATATAATCACGTCTCTTCTTTAGTCGTTCATTGAAGTATTAACTCCGTTGACTCGGTCTATTGCTGAGGGTTCGTGAAGTCGCATGATACCGTAGACTAGTATAGAATATCCGTGACAGTTCAATTGAACTAAATCTCGATTCGTGCTTTAACTTTTCAATTATTGACTCGACTTTCGAAAGGTTCGAAAGGTTGCCTCTGTTCTAGATAATTGTCGAATATACAAGTGGTTTAAAGTAATCAGTACAAAAAGGTAATTGGTAAGGAGACATAACTTTCCTGTTCTGCGATAAAACAGATCGATATATAGAATCTTACGTCACTGGGGCATACGAGTGTCTTACGAAACTTAACCGGTGATTGATTATTACATTTTAATTGTTGGGCTGTAAAAATACGACTCATCTATCAATCAATTGTGGATGCCTGATTAATAGCTGCATGGTCAGTTAAAAAGTAGTTGGTGGAAATAATCTCTCTACTTCTAGAGGAAGACATTTCTTTTATAAACATTATTTCTTTTATAAACTTATTTTCATTGAAAAAAAAATATTTGAAATACATAAATGAAACTTAAAGTTAAAATATTTAATATCCTGCTTCGGTTTATAAAAATGAAAATATTATAATAGAAAATTAATATTATTAGGTGTATGCATATGTTTTGTAGCTTATGTTTGCATGATAATACAAGACGATAGGTATATCGGCATTTCTGAACCAAGTACTTTTTATGTTGGCATGGCTGGTTAACCTGCATTCAAACAAACGAATAATAGATCGTAATCGTTGTGATAATATCGTTTTACATTTATTTTAAAATGAAATCCGACAAGTTGCGTGTGCGGTATTGCTTAATTTTTCTGTTTAATCAACACAAAGCCGCTGCACATGTGAAACAAATTATATGTACGACATATCAAGATGGTACTATGACTGACTGCAAGTGATTCTACTGATTCAATAGGTTAAAAACTGGCGATTTTAATGTTAACGACAACGTTTTATCAGGATTGTCTGAGAAGATGGAACATGAAGAATTGTAAGCTTGATGAAGATTCGGGCCAAACACTACAACAACTTGCAGAACAGCTAGTTGATCACATTTAAGTGAACACTCGAAGCAAAAGATACCGTTTACTGACAAAGGTCGACGTCCGATTATTATGACAATGCCAGATTTCAAACGGGAAGTTCTATCTCGCTCGACGTACACATCTGACATCCCACTTTCTGATAATCATTTGCTCAGATTCATGCAACACAGTCTCCAAGACATACGTTTTTGAAATGAAGCCAATGTTTGAAAAAATATTGATGAATTCATTGCATCGAAAGATGCTTCCTTTTTTTGACGAGGAATCAACCTGTTAACTGAATGATACCAAAAGGTAATGGAAAACGAGGGAAAATATTGTAATTAAAAATAATGGACAAATTTCATTCGGTTGATAAAGTAATTCAACTCAAAAACCTACAAAACTTATGCGTACACCTAATAATATTTAATTTTTTATAAATGAAATAAAAAACATAGAACTCGTAACATGTTCCCTTGAGTTATAAATTCTGCATCAGTTAACGTATTAATACTGTTCCTTTACGC